TATAATTCGCCGTATTAATGTCAGAGCCAAACGTGAGAGAGCGCAAAGTGGTAGTATCTGTCGCGACAACTGTTCCCGACACACTGTTTTGCTGCTTTAGTGTACATGACTCGGCCGACAACGATCGCGAGGCGATAGGCACGGAAATGCAGTATGCGAGCGTTTAACGCGGCGGAGGAATTAATTTAAATAGCATAGTTGGCTCTCGTAGAGTTGCCGCGTTAAATTTTCTCTCAGACCTTAGAGTTTGGTCGCGAGAGAAACTTATTCCTTAATCCAACCTAAATCGTTGAAGTCAATAATTTCTTGTTCACCATTTCATAGATATGTGTAAAGAGATTAAGCTTACAATTAGTATTTTACTATACTTTTTTGATAAAAAAAGTTTAATATTATTGAGAATATTATATCCAATCTGTCTTATAATGACACACTTTAATTAGATGTATATTGAAAAAAATCTAGATTTTTTATTTCTTACATACGCGCAATAATTATGCAATATGTATATTTACCGGATGCATCCAGTGAGTTTATTATCATGATAATAAACTTACACACGTGCGTGGCAAAAGAGAGGTTTTTGCTTTACAAAAGCAGAGCTTATTTATTGCGTTTAGTTGCACGAAAAGTCCCAAGATAAATGTGTCACAGTACAATGTACAATAGTCCTTGAAAAAAAACTTATCACAGCAAAACATATATAACAAAACGACCGACAGGATGATCGCGCCATCTTTCTCCATAATGTTCATCGATCTCGACGCGAAAAAAAAACTATGCCATTGTCTCACGAGTCAGGGGGTAAAGATTTTCGCCCAGTAGAACTTTCTTTTTTCGTACTTTTCAAGAAAAAAAGAAGCCACGCTACGAAGAAAGCATGGAGCACGCCTTCTTTGTGTGCACACTTCGGCAAAAGTTTCCATGATTGAACTCTTTGCACGAAAGACGATCGTTATACTGGATCTTACCATTGTAAAATCCGCCATTGAGTGCTTCTTCGTCGAGCCCCTTTTATCACTGATATCAGATAATAGTTATAAATGGGTCGTCTCCCCTTTCATTTCCGAATAAATAACGAAACACAATAACGCTTTAATTTAAATTACCTCGAGAGAATCACATCTATGGGAAGTAAACTCATTAACAAGTTTCCATTCATGGAGGGTACTTCGCAAAATTGTCACCGGCAATAATAGTAACGTGAGAATGCTGCGAAATTGGGTAACATCGAAAAAATTAATTAGAAAGTTATAATCGTACATGCACATATAACAAATTAACTTTAAACTACATAATAATTTTCAAAGTGTGATTCATGTTTAAATTATAAAGATATCAGGTATTATAGTCTTATAATTGTAGCTTTTATTAAGTTTAATACAGAAGTTTCTGTGATTGTTTTCCTACGCATTAACTAATCGTAGGTATTAAAACAATATTTTCTTTTTCACAGTTCAAATAATGTAGTAAAATTCATATATTCTTTACGGCACATGACATAAGTTGTCATATGACATAACGATAAAAATTTATGTACCGCAGAACATTGAAACGATTCACAGATATCACTTATATATTTCGACAATAATATGAGATATAGTTTATTTAGCTAATTAAATATTTTTTATTCAATAAAAATATCTTCACATAAGGGATTTTTCTCTATAACGTAATTACTTTTCGGTTTCTATAAAATGGAAAACGTGTTATGTTTAAAAATAAAATATCGTTAATATAATAAAAATAGATGCTTCTTCATTTTCATATATTTATAAAATTAAGAGGCTGTACAATAATCGAAGGACAATAAACCTGCTAGCAGGATTTAACAGGAATAAAATTTTATCATCAGTATCTATTCATCGTTTCGTATGCATTACAAATAACGATGAGAATTATATAGAATCGTCCATAAGGGATACCATTCGAGAAAGAGCAAGAGAAAAAAGAACGGTTCTCTTTTCCACGAGAACAATCAGGATTGTCGTTCAGCGGCAATATGACATATGCGGAAGATCGTGGAGTGGACACTCCCCTGAGATTACCATCGCACATACTGCAAAATGATATGCAAATGGAAGGACTTGCGTTGCATGACATCCCAACGGAAAAATGCATTTCATGCATTTTTAATAATAAAAATATAGCGCACATTAGTTATTTAAATAAAATTTCGGTAAACTCATAATTGTAAAGTTTTTATTGTTATAAATTTTTATTCACTGTAATTTAAAATTTTTCACATATTTCTAATAAAAAAAGTAAATTACACGGTGATTAAAACGCCTAAAAATTACGTTAACTACTATTCATTTATCTTCAATATTAATTGTTTTCGTTTACGAGTCATTGAATTGTTCGAAGATTTACTTCGATTAATGTAATATTAGGGAACGTATGTCTACAATCACACATATGCGAGCATACACGCACACCAAGTAAGATTTCTACGGAACGAGAAGCACCCTTGGGATATAGTGTCCGAGAAGAGAGAGCGATGAAAACAAGTGGCTGAGAAAAATCAAGAGAGCAGTTCGACAAGCGAGAGGAGAGTAGCCCGGCAATAAAACGCAAGCGGAAGATTGTGGAGTAAAGGCACTCTCTTGAGATTGCTGGTGCTCCATGCTCGATACTGACATCACAGAAAAAGAGAGGAGGAATAAAGATCCTCGCTATCTTGCTATCCACAAAGATTGCAAAATATGTATCCTTTCAATTGATTCTCTTACAATTGGCTACATATATCACTGAAACGTGACGATAGAAAACATAATAAAAAATTGGAAATTGTTGAAAAACAGTTAAAAGTTAATGTGGGGTGTATATGTACGTATAATTAATCTCGAAATTAATAGCTGTGTACATATGAAAATAATAAAATTAACTTTAATGCAGGTAACGACTAAAAAAGTTATACGTAGAAGTTAATTTTATTATTTCTATGTAAAAATAGTGAAACTAATTGTTATTAGTTTTCTTGTTGGATTGTATGGAGATAAAATGTGGGAAAAAATACATGGGATCTATTTCAAAATTTCTTCTTTACATCTCGCAAAGTGGGTAATAAAATAAAATAAAATGCAAAGTGCAACGTAATGTTTATTTAAAACATTTAATTTAAAACGTGCTGCAGAATACCATTTTCGTATATATTTATCAAAAAGCTATTTAGGGTGTCGCGTGGCTCGCTGAAACATTTAACCGCCGGAGAGATTTAATGAGTTGCGCTCCTATCGCAAGCGAGGTGCAATTGCACTTTACAGGCTAAATGAACGTAGCTTCATCCAAGTCAAAGACGATTGTTTTGCTGTACTACGCGTGAAGTATCGTAACTAACGCAATTGCAACATGTTGGTAAATACAGCAATGCACGATCGAGATAAATCTGCGGCGTTTACTACACGATATTGCGTTCTATCCTGCTTAAGTGCGCAATTTCATAGCGGATGCATGCAATGATGGAGGATAAACGGAGGAAAATCATTTTCAGTATTCAATGACGACTACAATATATGTATATAATGTCGCTCTGCGCTGTTTGGATTGCAAATTTTTGTTTCTATTTCACGCTGCAATTTACACTCCATTTTACATTGTCGATAAAAGATAGAGATTTCAAAATATCGTTATTATCGCGCTTGTCATATAATCACAGCATTCGTTATAATTTTTTCGTTCAAATGTACATACGAAAATACGAATATTAAATACATTGCATTTTTGCTAGGTATAATAAAATAATAAAATGTAAGGATTAGCAGAATTAAGACGTCTTGACAGCTGAGTCTGTGGTTGATTTTTCTTAATAAAAATTAAAATTAATTAAATGAAAATTTAATTAAAAGGATTATATTATTTGTTTTTTAAGAAATTCATTTTTAGCTTAATTTAAATACAAGAGCAAAATGGAACTAAGTGATACATAAAATATTATCTATTCGTATATTTAAAACTCGAATTTTCAAATCCGCCAAATTTTATAATAGATACGAAAATTCGATATTAACCATGCGATATTTAACATTAATAATATTAAATTGAATCTTTGTAATCTTTTTGTTAAAGAATTAACGTCAAATTTATAAAAGAAATATATTTCAAATTTCTACATTTTACCGATATAGGTATTGGCATGATAAGGAGATAATCGCCATATGAATGATAAACGAGCGGTCCTTTCCGTTGAATATAGAGATCATTCGCTGTAGCTTTACCGGAAAAGCGGTAAAGCTACCGCTCCATAGAGAATCCAGCAATTCCCCGAGATTTCCCGGCTCGATTTGAGAGATTATCATACAAGCTAGGCGTCTATTTATGCGGAACAAACGATGGTCCATGCGACGGACATTGCCGGGCGGTTCTGATTGAAATGCGCCCAGTAATTTCCGGTTATTTGGCACATACAGTTATGCTCGCGACGCGGTGCATTAGGCCGCCATGACGCCGGCAACGTTTGATATGGCGTGGAATGCGTAGTACTACCATGGTCCATTTCCATCCGCTGCGTCCCGTATATCGATGTCGATCAACGTCGACGAAATCGTACGAAGGCTTACGCGATTACAGAGAGCTAATATCGCGGGGCTTTTAATCGATCCAGTGCTAAGAGGAGTCGGGTTGCAAAATGATAATTTCAAATCCTCACGGATCATTCGAATACATTTATATATTTCTTTGGAATTGAAAGCGAGTAAATTGGTCTATTAAGTAATAAATATTATTACTCTTTTATCTAAAAATAAAATATTCTCTTATTAGAGAGTAAATTAGACAATAAAATTATTAATATTACTTGTTATATCCATTTGTTACTAGTGTTTGTATCTTTATTTTAATATCGCATTTTCTGCAATTGCATATTTCATAAATTTTGGAAGACTTGATTTTCACAGTCTCAGATTCTAGATAAATATAATTTCTGCTCTACATTGTTCCACGAGCGAGACGTTTAATTAAAGTTGTAAAAGGTAATGCTTCATTTTATCGGAATTACTTACGTTAATGAGATCCAGCTTCTCGTCGTCCAACCTGCAACAAAAAGTGAAAGATGGTCTTTTAGATGTAACGGAAGCTAACAATTTCCCGTCGACATTTCATTGCTGACCGACGTTGAAATGCCGCTCGGAATGAACTGTAATAACATTAGAACTTGACAATGTACGGGGTGACTCGTTGACGACAGAAAACTATATTCCCTGGTCGTACCAGTCCTCCAACCTACCAATTTCAAAAGTTCGCAGTAAACTGGTGGCCAAAACTAATTTTCCAACTAATTTCCAAAATAGGAATCCCAAACCGCTCTGGTAGATGACCGAGAGATTACCACAACACATGACGCGTAGAAGTGCATAAAGATTATATAAAATCGGCATTTTATTTCTGACCTTTCAATTCATGCACATTTCTGACACTTCTTACATAAATCTGTAAGCTTCAAATTTCCAATTGGATTGTGATACAACCTACAGGAAATAATTAACATAATGCTTATAAATTGCAACTGTTTTAGAAATTAACATAACAATTTTAATATATTTAACGTATAATCTATTAGTTATACTATCATATCTCGTTATACACGTTTTAAAATGACTTTAGAAACAATTATTACATTTTTGAGATATCTATCTCCTATAAAACAGAATTGTCACTACCTCTCCGGACCCCCCGTTCACGTTAAACCCGATCGAAGTTCGACTTCCGAGTTCCGTTAACTAAGACAGACGACGTGCGGGCAAAACCAAAGTATACGCCGGGGTGAACCTTCTCCTTAACTGGCTAATTCCTCGATTAACATTTTAATTACCCAGTGTACGAGGCGAAAGTTTGAGCGAGCTGCCCTAAGCTTCAACGAGGGAAGAAGATTAGAGTCTCGTTAGGGTGGCGCAAGTCCCCCGCTCCGCTACTCTATCCCCCACATTTCATCCTCAGGACTAATTTTGCTCGGCCTGATATGCGTGGAAGAAAATTATTCGTCGGCGTCTATCTTCCGCCCCGAGAAACGTCGTGCAAAACGGGGCGGAGGACGGAGGACGTCAGACACTCTTGTGGACAAAGCGCAAAGGACTTTAATCTCGGTGAGGGGCAAAAAGGTGCGGTATGTACGACGATACGCGATTTCACGGCGAGTACTCTCGCGAGACGGAGCTTTGTGTGGAACGTCAGAAGTTGACGAGCTGCCGTTTTCCACGTAGCGCGTTCCGCGACCGGTGAGTCTCGAGTTTCGGCGATTAGAAACGTTGTAAAGCTCTTCCTTGCCCAACGTTATTTAGCGCTAATTCACTTTCCGCGCAGCAAAAAGAGACGTCAGCATCGTAATATAACAAGTCTTTGTTAAAAGTACGGATTCAAACTAGGTCACGTGGGTGTTTTAGTTTAATTTTCGATACATTAGGTACAGAATTACACATGAAACAACGCATACGTATGCGCATAGAAATATTTCACATTAGTTGTGCATTTATGTAAATTTTCAAGAATAATTTTCGAGAAATCTGTATTGTATGTTCATATCAGAATCTGCATTCAGTGAAATTATACTGATTTGTAATTCTCGATGAATAGTAAAATACATTGTTACAGATCATTTTATTTTCATTTTTTTCTAGTGTGTACTTAATTATTAAAACTTCAATAATATTACTGTTTTAATTGTTGATCGTATTATTGCATACGACAACAATATTTTGATTGTATCTATTTTATTCGCTATGCTGGAACGCAAAACATTACGTTAGCTTGCATTGTTTTATGAGTAAAACTGTTATTTTTAATATATCTCCGGAAGACGAATGTTAGAACGCCTTGCTGTTTTAACATTTCGAAACTGAGATAAAAATAAATTTTTTGTATTGTTTTTTTTTATAAAAAGTGAGATCTCTGTAAATATGAATTTTTTTCGGCGAAATAAACCACCCTAAGTCGTACCTTATCAAGCAAGATGCCAGAAAAGATAAGATTGCGGCCTGCTGCAAAGGCAACGTATGCACAAAAATTATTGCATAAAAGTAGATCAACCTACTTGTCAGCAAAGCATATTCGCGCCGCGCCGGTTTACTTAATATTATCCTTTTCAGTGTATGAATTTATGAGAGCTCGTATTCGGAGATAAGTCCAAAAGAAAAATTAAATGGGAGGAAGAAAGGAATTGTAAAATACTGATATTCTTCGTATTTTATAAAGCAATATTTTAACAGGTGAATAAATAACAAGGAACTCTCGATAGCGAAATTAATAAGTGACAAATAAAAAGGGCTTTGAGAGTTCAACGCAGTTGACGCGAAATAAAAGTTAACGTTACATAAATCTTTAACAACTAAAGAAGATTACATAATTATAAATCGGACGTTTCTACTTTGAATTAAGTTAAAATAATCTCACGTTCTCCAGCGAGAGATAAATTAGTAACCTGAAAATTTGGTAGTCTACAAATGGTGTAATTCAAGAAATCCAAGTAAAACTTATAACGATCATAGTTTACTATCATGATCGAAATCAAAATATTGTAACAGTGAGCAATATTTAACATTTCCTACATTTTGGTGAATATCAACTTTAAATTATAATAGTAAACGCGGCCACGAAAATAAAAACCGGCGTATACGGAGGAAACGAAGTTCTCGCGGCAGAAAATTGTATTGTTAATGCAATCACATAGTTTCGAAACAAGCTCGTTTTTAATCATAGAGAATGCTGTTGTTAAAACTGCTGAACTGAGATTAAAGCGGCAGTTTAACATCGCTGATTAAAAAAAGTTATCTGTGCTCTTGCTAAGCTCACTGTAACTCACACCATTTTCACTCACGCAAAGCGTCTCCAATTCAACCGGGTATGTCTTCTGTGTCTTGACTTTTTAGTCGACCCTTTCTCTATGACCATTCACCCTTCGCTTCCGCGTTTACGAGCTCCGCGTCCTTTCCTTGCTTGTGCTTCAAGCCCGTTGAACTTTTTGTTTTAAACGCGTCGTGCCTCTCTTACAAGCGAACGTACGTATACTCGGTGCCATTTTCATTTCACCCGAGTGCGCAATTTGCAATTTTCTTCCGTAGGCGATTAAGATGCTTAATCTGTGCGCGCGCGTAGGCGGCCTACTCCTTCATCGAGTTTCTGTCCTTCGTCTTTTCTTATACCAGATAGTTTCGGCTAATCCAACTTATCCCTTCTCCCCTTTCCTCATTTTCTCCCGTCTCGGTCCAAAATCTCCCTAGTTTTTATTTTCTCCATTTGCTGCGTATCACTCTGCACTCTCCCTTCGTTTCCTCTTTTTTCCTTTAATTTTTTTCTTTCTCATTTACCATATCGCCTTCTATCTTCCACTAGTATCTTCCATCCCCCCCCGTTTCCTTTTCTTATTCTCTTTCTTTCACGCGGCTACTTCTTCTCTTCCATGTCTTATAGCACTATTTCCTTTACATACACATGTAATTTCCTGTACGTGTCGCGCTAGCGCATATCTTCACATCTCTTTTAGCTTCTGTCTCATCATCTAAATATTCTAAATTACCGTTGGAAAAAAAGCTTTCTTTTTTTTCATATTCTTTATCGCATTAGCTCTTTTGACACAACTTTGCATTAGCTAGCAAATGACAAAAATAATCAATTTATTATATGTTTGTATAAATCGTGGTATTGCGCTTGCCTAAAAGCCACTGATTTCTTTTCTTGAATCTGTCGTTATATGTCGCATGTTTAAAGAAGAAAGATTTTTTTAACGTTATCATTAAATATGTCGTTGTTACGATCGCGATCTCGTCGCATCTTTTGGCAGCGATAGCCTGAAACTTTGCATAGAGGAGAAAAAAAGCTTAAACAAATGTACTTGATTTAGCGAGTTACTCAGCGAGTTACCCAGCAAAATCAAACGAGACACCACTCTCGCGTTTTAGCGCCACGGAGAACAGCGTGTTGATTTAGGACGGTAAGTTATGATCTCGAGTACTACTGCAACGCTGTAGTAATATCCCGTAGAATATGGAGGCGCCAGATAAATTTCAGTAGCAATTAGCGGCCGCCGCGATAAAATCCATAATGTCGCCTCACCGCGGAGTCGCGCGCAACGTAAGCGCGAGCGTGTTAATTGAGTGTGAATCTGGTTATAACATCCGTGATATTCCGCAGTAGCAGAATTTTGAGTAGGCTTTTACGACTAATTACTGAGTCTAGCAATGTAATAGGTAATATGCCTAATAGGCGTAGGAACATATGCAGAATCGAACCAATAATTCTGATTTAATTGGTAAAGAATTGGACAAGTTTTCCTTTACGATACGTATAACTGAATAAATGAGAATCTTTTCCACCGTATTTAAAAATTGTCGCGTTAAACATACGCGACGTATTTATTTAAAACATAAAAAGCATCTTACACTAAATAACGAACTTGAGAAATAATACCTTTCAAATTTTTTAAATTTGTTTTATGTCGATAAAATAACTTTTTTAATTTAAACAAATTGTACTGAAAAGGACTACATCAAAGAATCGATACAAATATATAAGTAATTAACGATAATGATAATAATTTAAGATACGCGAAAGATATGACAATTATGATAATTTCTAAGCTACGAGATAACAACTTCTATCTCTTACAATTAGTTTCCACCGAGACTTGTCTCGATCCTAATTCCGGGCTAATAAAACAAAAATGTAGCGCAGAAGCCCGTGGAACTTTTATCGTCGCGGTTAAAAGTCACGTACATCGCGAAATCATACTCGAATAATACTCGCGTATTATTCGTCTTATCTCTCGGCCACCTCGTAATAGGACACAGAAACCGCGCGGTATGCACACGTATTCGCTACATTAACGAAATCAGTCATCATTCGTAGCACAGAACACCGAAATCTGACCGCGGTGCTAATGTCCTGCAAATTGCAGGCCACGTTACAGTGTTGGATTATTGATGACACAGAATGGCTATGACTATGCGTCTCTATTATCTTTACGATCTGCAAATGGGGCCGCGGTCATTCGTTGCTTTGGATAAATATGGCAATGCTATGCGATTGTTTCAAGCTTAACGTGC